TTCCTTTTCCATCCTTTTTCCTACTACTCGTTTTCTTTCGTTTTTTCTTCATTCTCAATCCATCCTACTAAATGAATTCTCACAAATAGTGATTTCTGAACTCTTGTAAGGGAAGAAACATAAAGACATTAAAATACCAATATCCTAATTTCTAATCCCTAACAAAATGAAGATAAAGTTAGATTACTCATTTAATTGTATTGCTGCATTCAACATTTTTCCATTGACAACAATCAGCTGCAGTCTCATTAATCTCCATGAAGGTAGCGATTATCCATCTGAGAAGTTTATATTGGCTTTAAGATTGAAAAGAGCAACCTCCATGAAGGTAGCGATTATCCATCTGAGAAGTTTATATTGGCTTTAAGATTGAAAAGAGCAACCCTCTCTTCCACCCAACATCCTAAACAATACCATCCATTTAGTAATGGAAGCACCATCATCCCTAAAATTACCCATAACTTTATTTGCATCTTTCTTAATTATCAACGTGTCAACTCTGGTTTATTTATATTATTAGCAATGGTGCAGAATTTCTTATATATGGTGCTTGGTGGATTTTCCGCTTTGGGAGCGTCCCTTCTCAAAAGAGAAACTTGTTGTATAGTGGATTAACTGGAACTACTACTATTCATTTTTACGACTTACTTTGAGCGTTTAGAAATATATAAATTACATACACAAATTCCTATAAATCCTAGATAACAAATAAGATGTGTAGACGACTTCGTCTGCTTCTTTTTTGGTAAGAAATTAAGATTCGTGATATTTTACAATCAGGTCTTGACTAATTAATGACGAAATAGACAGAGAATATTTTTGTATTCTACCATACATTTTTCTATCAATAGTGTCACTAGCCAAGGGTCCGCATGAGGAGCAAACTAATGTTAGATTAGTAGAAATTTCAACATTCCACCTTGTAAGAACGACATCACCATTAGAACAAAATATTTATGTTAAATTTAGTCATCAGTTTATCACAAATATGTACACCAGAACAAGGAGACATTGACTTGGAATATTAATATGTTAAAAGCCATTTGTTTGACATGAGACTTCGACAGAATCAATGATCAGTCTATTGCAAACTAGTAGTAAAAAATTGGAATTATTGAATTACTTGGGTTGATTTATCTCAATACGATTAAAATACACATTTAGTAATGCTAACCTTATTAGGAAGGGACAAACGGCAAATGTATTGATGTAATAGGAGAGCAATTAGCGTAAGTTTTTAGTTACAGTATGTTAAATAGTTTTATCTAAAATGAAATCGAGATGAAAATGGCAATTCTTTACCTTCTCTCTTTTACAAACAACTTAAATTAATGATGAAAACTCAAATTGAGGTTCTAACTTTGAAATTGTTGCTTTCATGGACACTGTTTTCTCATTCATAGAATCAGTGAAAGTTGGAACTCGTTTTATATTTACTTGTCTTCACCCTCCATATTGTTAGTTACCTGCATATGTTTTTTTTCTCAAAAATGTTATCTTGTTACCGTATTTTAAAAATATTTCCTCTGCTTTTCTCGTAATACATATCAGTTTAATAAGGTTACATTAGTTGTTTAATTCATATAGGAAACTAATGATTTTCGAGAAATTACTTATCTTATACCGCAACAAAAAAGGTTTTAATAAATTGATCCCGAAAGGTTGATTTCTTTGATAATCACATGATCTACTAGAGAACCACCAGAATACAAAGTATATTCAACTTACTATTTCCGTTAATTTCTACACATATAAAGTTCAAGAAAGCCGATTAAGCGATGACAAAATCTTGTGATCAAATGAATAGCCACCCTGATTAGGGGCTCAAATCTCAGCTTTGACAATCTATCAATACTTGTAAAGAAGTTCAAAATATCTATATTCACTACAACAGAAGTAGCGTTTTACGGCATTCTTTTACGGTGTGCATATCAAACATGTCGAAAAAACAAACTTTTTACGACCTATCTTAAATGTGTGCCATAATAATTCAATTTTTTAAAATATTTACGACATACATTTTTGGCAA